TAATAGACATTCCAATTAAAAATACATATTACAAAGAAATTTACAGAGCAGGGAAATTTATAGACAAAATTACAGAAACATGTTCAAGAATAAGATAAAAACATAAAAAATTTCTTTTTTCAAAATAAAGATGCTAGAGAAAATTGAAAGAAGAAACATACATCAAACAAAAATCAGAGAAATTCAAATGCTAGAGAAATTTATAGATAAAATCACACAAACATGTTCAAGAATAAGTTCAAAACACACAGAAATAACTGTTTCCAAATTCAGGTAGCTTTTTATTACGAAATTGAAACCCTAATTTACGGAAGGTTAATATAAAATGCTATTAACTTTGTTTCCAGAGAAAATCTAGTTGTATTGTAGAAAAACTTACCAGAGTTAGGATGAAACTTGAATGACAAGCTGATATGGCCTGAGATGAAGATGCGACGTGACAAAGATGGACTGAGATGACGATGAGCAGTGAAAACGAAGCTCTAACGAAGGTCAGAGAAATTTGTGAGGAAGGAATGGGAATGATTTTTGCAGAAGAGAACGAAGCTCTAATGTCGATGGTGAAGATTATGTTGAAACCCTAATTCTGCTGTTCTGCTATTCGTGAAGATGCTGGATGGTTGGAATGGAACTGAGACGTCGGAATGAGTTTCGTTTCTGTGTTGATTTCGGCAAGGGTATTTTGGTCCACAAAAATAATTAAAAATGCGCGCCAAGTTGTTCAAGGACCTGATGCATCACTATTTTTTTTGGGTGTCCTTTATCCTCTAAATTAGTATTATTAGGGAGCTAAAAAAAATTCCCCTTTATTTTATCAATTATAATATTATTAGGATATTACATGGTGATATTTTAAAACCAATCTATAACTTCTCAAATGCATGATCTACAGAAAAAAAATTATAATAAGAGTAAATTACTTTTTTCTTAACGCAGACTAAATTACACTTTATGTCCTATATTTTACACCAAATTTTATTTTAATCCCTACACATAAAATCATGATAAAGACTTTAAATATTTATAAAATTATTATATATTTATATTAAGGTTTTTCTTTGAATTATATATTATTTTTTATGTTCACCTTCGTTTTTGTCACATGGCCAATTTTTCAAATTTAATTTCAACATATAATTGCACTAAATTTCAGTGCTTAGTCTCAGTCAAACATGCACGAATTACTCGCAAATCAAATAAGCATATACACAATTTACAGGAACCATTCCAACCTTTATTACCACCAAATAATATAAAGATACAAGAGTATTTCATACAGGTTACACACACTGCCAAAAAACTCTTAATGCCTAAACATTTTAAGGCATATTACAAATCAGTTATAAGCAGCTGACACCCTAAACTACTAGGATAAATTCGAACCAACAAAGGCTATTGCGAAGGTAATTGCCACCAACTACCAAGAACTAGCTTAGACCAGATCCTACATTCTCACATGCTGTGTCATTGCCTCTTGCAAGCATAACTGCCACTAGCTGCCATGTATGTCAACCTTGCATCATGCTAGCATATAACTGCCATGGACTGCCATCCATGTCAACCTTAAACCCACTCAAATCAAACCAATGAATTAGCAAGTCTTGGTCTGCCTAGCCCATGTTAGTGCCAGCCCTTAGTCTATAACTAAGTGTCAAGCCCACTGATTTGTCTAACCCAACAAGCCCATGTTGCCAGCAGCATTCAGACTAAGTCCAGCACATGGAGGGACAATTGGTAGCAAAATTGCCAACCGAGAAACATGGTCGGTCGGCCAGCCAGACGAGGGACGACCGGCCACCAATTTTTGGCCAGCCGGCTACCTGATGGCCAGCAGGCCTCTGGATGGTCAGGCTTGGAAAAAAGGTTTTGGAAAAAAGGTTTTGGCTAAAAGGATATGCAAGGTTCTAGGCTCTGGAGTTGGAAAATCGAAGCTTTTTTGCTGAAGAACTCGAACAATTGTGCAACGTAGTAATTCATCATCGAGTGATTAACCTGAGACGCCCAAGTCTTTAAGGGCGGTAAAAAATGGGGTGTCTACAACTTGTTTCCACCTAGTGTCATGGATTGTATTGGACCACATACATCTGTGTGGATCAACTAGAGAGGTTGAGTTGCTCTTTTTATTCTTCCATCTCTAAAACTCTTTCGGTGTTGTTTGCGAATGAGACATCCTTCACATTTCTTTAGCGGAAGCTTGATCCATAGTAACCCTGTCAGGAAGGCAAATGCAGCAGATAATCAAATGATTCGAAAAGGAAGGCAACCCAAGAAAACACTATTGGATCATTGTTGTTAAACAGGAAGGCAACCCAAGAGGAGGGGTGAATTGGATAATTAAAAATTTAATTCGAAAAGGGTTTCAAAAGATCTTATGTAATCAAATGCAGCAGATAATCAAATGATTAACAGAAAGTAAAGAGAATAGGAAAGAAGAACTTAACACAAAGATTTATAGTGGTTCGGCTCATCGGCCTACGTCTACTCCTCAAGAATCCTTCTTGAGAATTTCTTCACTATGATCGAAGCACCACCAAGTTCTTCCAACCTGAGGTGTATTACAAAGGACTTACTTTAATCTGTTGAGGACCTCACCCAACAAAAAGCCTCACTTTACAATTTTTTCACTCAGAAACTAAGAAACGAGAAAAAAAAAAAAAAAATTTTATTTTTTTTTTTTTTTTTTACAAAAAAAAAAAAAAAAAAAAAAACACAGGAGAAATCACAGAGATTAAAAAAGATGCTTGGTAAACTTAGTGTAGTTGCAGTCGTGTGTTCTATGTTTCAGATCTGGAAAAGATCCAGATTTATAGCCTCCATCCGACTTAACTCTTGAAGAAAAGAAAACACACCCACTTGAGTTTACTATCCGTTGGAGCTGGGCAAGGAAAAAGTTTCCAGCTGTTGTGAGTGGCGTATGGATGGTACAGGTTGTCTTTTGACCATTGGAGATGGAGCTTCCTCAAAGGAAGTGATGCCCATGCTTGGGATATAGAACAATGATGGAGGGATATAATGTTGTCTCCATGCTTTTTCTTTTTCTGATCTTGGGAGTGGTATGAGTGGAGAATGTTTCCTTCATTAAGTTAAAAAATATTATCCCAAAGTTCCTTTTGATTAGAATATATGTCTGATGATGATGTCACAGAAACCCTCTTTGAGTTGGAAGATGGCGGCTAGGTTTTATGCAACCCAGACATAAAGGTGTCGACCCCTGCAGATTGGGTGTCGACCCTTAGCTTTGTCTTTTCTTTCCTGAGTTGATTTGCATGTGTTCCTGGTGTCGACCCTTAACTCATTTGGTGTCGACCCTTGCGGCTGAAGTGTATACTGCTTTTTGGTGTCAACCCTTGCATCTGGAGTATATACTGCTTTTTGGTATCGACCCTTGCTGCTGTTGGTGTCAACCCTTGCATCTGGAACACTTGGTTATTTTTCCAGCTTCTCACTGGTGTTGACCCCTGCTTTTCTGGTGTCGACCTTGTGTTTGACAAAGATAGAGTTTTGCAACCAAGAGCTAATGCTTTTATTTTTGATAACCCAAAAGTTATTTAAGCAAAACATTTAAAATCATGAAGCGCAGATATTTAATTTGAAAACTACAAATAATTAAAAGAATGGAATATTTCGTCATTAATCAAAATCAATAGATTTTCAAGTTTGAGTAACCTTGGTGCTAAAAATATCCCCTTTTTTTATGATGACAAATATCTAGAGTTTTCAAACTATATGTTTCAAAAGGAAAGCGTGAAGGGAGTTTTTGAGAGAGAAAGTTTTGAAAAGAAACGAGAAACTCCCCCTATAAATAGGGCTTCATGACCAAAGCAAACAGAGTGAGAATTGTATATCTACAGGTAATAAGATGACTTGATATGGAACAAGCTTCCCCTGTCAGTGTACACTGATCCATTCAAATGTAAAAATTAGCTTCTGTTAATTTTTATTGAATGAAATCACAAGCATTGAATGAAATCACAAGTTCTTTTAAAAATGAAAAGATCCATAAGTTTCCACGAGCGTGTGTGTAAAAGACATAATAAATTATTACTTACACAACGACGGGTTGTGGGTCGAGTCGGTTCTTATATTAATTTTTTGGACAAAATTTATTTGAATTTTTAATGAAAATTTTTTTGCCAAAAATTGAATTTATTTTTTGTTCATTTCCAATCTGAAATCCAAATAGATTAAACAGTTCAAAATTGTTTGAACCCCGGACAGATTCTATTTAAAACTGCCAGATAGATTTGAATCTGTCCAGCAGTTACCAACAGATAGAAACTGCTGGGCAGTTATCTGTTGCACCTGTTCATTTGAAAACCATATCTGTTCACTTCAAATTAGTACCTGTTCGGGTCTACATATTCTAGACTTGTTCCAACAGATTTTGGTTAATCAAAAAACCAATAAATTCTGTTCAGACAGGTCTGTTGAAATTCGGACATATTCAAAATCTGCACAGTTTAGATCTGTCCAGTTTCCATATTGAATCTGTTCCAAACAGTTTCATATTTGTACAGGCAGTTTACACACCTGTTCGGATAGATTTATTTGCCTATAACTACCAACCATTTTCCAGCAGTCTTGAGGGTTGAATAACAGTTAAAAAAAAAATCATTTTGCTATCCAATTTGCTCCTTTGCATTATATATTCTTCATTCTAGTTTTAGAATAAAATAGAAAGAGTATAGAATACAAGGTTTTGTTCGCCGAACAAATTGTTTGGAGTGCTATTACAATTTGTGAAGATCATTGTATCCTGGGAGATAGACGCCACATAACCGTAAGCACCGTAGCGGGGTGAAGCTGTCTTAAGGACAGAGTGTCACACACTCGACTTGATCTTTTTATTATTCTTTTGGTTCGATAAAATAAATTCGGTACGTAATTTATTTTTATTTAGTTTGATTTGTTTCATTTATTTGTTGTACACAGAAGATTGTTCCAACACTTTTAAGCAAAACCAAGCTTCATTTTTCAGAACTGGCTTTCTCTTATCTCTTTGCCTTACACATTTCCTATGTGAATAATGGCTTCTTTACACCACTCATTGAAGTTAGTACTCCTCTTTTTTTCCCTCATTGCCCTCAACTTCTACATTATTTCCGTACAAGCCCTTAACACCAGCATTCAAGCAAGTTCTGCCATCTTTGTGGTTAGTTCTTCATCAGCATCTCTTGCTTTACTTTTTTTTTTCTTTCATTTTCACTATGATATTATTTATAATCTCATTGTTATGACTTACTTTCTTTTGTTCTATATTTTTTTTTTTGCAGGCTAAAGAGTGCAGGAGAAAATGTGAATCAGAGTTCTGTAAAGGTACTTTATATTTTGGGGTTCACACATTTCTATCTTCTTCTTCTTCTTCTTTTAACTTGATTTGATAGTAGATTTTATTTAAGGATTTTATTTGATAGTCGGTCCTCAAAAGTATATGAATTGTCAGTCCAAAGTTCGCACTTCTTTCTGTAAATAAAGGTGTAACTTATCAAGTAATTGAATGGCAGTGGCACCATTTCTAAGATGTGGGAAGTATTGTGGACTGCTATACAGTGGATGTCTAGGGGAGAAGCCATGCGATGGCCTTAACGCTTGTTGTATGAAGCATGATGCCTGCATTCAAGCTAAGAACAGTATGTTTTATCTCATTACATTCCTTCCTTGCCCAAGGATCCTCTGTCCCCAAATAATCATGTCCCCCTATTCCGAATCACTCACAACCATTGGATCATATGAGAATCCTAAGATGTGAAAATCTGAAGACATATCCAATGGTTGTACATGATTTAGGATAGGGGATAGAGGATCCTTGCTGTCCTTCCCTCAATAATGCAGATCATTTCTCTGCAGATATATTTCTAATTATTATTAAGATTTTGTTATTATGTATTATTACTAATCTTACTCTGGTTGATGAGGCACCCTTTTCGGAGAATCACCAAAATCGGCCTAATTGACATAAGGGTTATTTGGTCTCCTAATCTCCACAATTACCAATCCTGTTTATAAAAATCAAGAATTTGGATCAGGAAAAAAAAAAAAGGATATTTGGAATTGCATTGTAATTTCCAATCCCCCCACTTGGAATGCATGCAGAGTTCAGAAAATATATCGAAGATGAATTTGAACAGTTTCTAATTCATTTTTAATAGGACTACTCAATGCTGGAAACTTTCGGTAAAATGTGAAGGCTTCATTAATTTCTAGTTCCTTTCTCATATATATATTTTTTAATATGGAAAATAATATATATTCAAAATATATAAAATAAATATATATTTTTAAGAGGTACATACAAAAGACGACGAAACACATGACAATGTTATTTATCTTCAATAAGAATCTAAATAAATTTCATTTCCTTTCCTTTCCGTCATAATACATGTGTTTGGTGAGTTACAGGGGCCAGTAGCATAAAGAAGTAAGAACATTATTATCTATTGAATGGTATGGGTGTAGTGCAAGTTGGCACAAACAAGTGAGAAAAAACAAAACCCACCAACCAACAATTAATAAGTAGGTGGTAAATATAGAAGCAATTATTATCATTAACGCCACAGCTTCTTCAATCTGAAATCGAATTGGACAGTATTGTTGAGTTGTAGTAGGCTTGATTCCAGGTCAATCTCGATAATTCAAACTATTCAATATGTAAAGCTCGACGGATATATCATCCTTGCAAAAAAATCATACTGATCGGATATCAACAGCCATTAGATCAGTATGAATTTGTTTCAACAGCAATTATGATTTTTAAAATAAATCGCAGACACAAATGTAAGCTAATCAAGTGACTATCAATATCCGATTAATGTAATTTTTAACAGAAATGATGTACTCGATGAGCTCTATTTATTGAACGGTTTGAATTATCGAAATAGACTAGAAATCAGGCCCATCATGACCCAACAACACTGTCCAATCTGTTTCTAGACTAGAGAGAAACTGAACCCACTAATTAATATCTAGTTTTGCCAGTTCATGTGGTTTTCTATGCAATTGAGTTATGCAAATGTGTTGTGTACAGATGACTATTTAAGCACAGAGTGCAGCGAGAATTTAATAAAGTGCATAGACAAGTTCAAGAGATCAGGAGAATCGACATTCACAGGGAACACATGCTTAGTTGAAGATGTTACTAAACTCATCACTCTCGTCATCGATGCTGCTTTGGTTGCGAGAAGATATCTCCATAAGCCTTAAATTCCTTCTCTTATTATCTCATCATCATCCTCTCTCTTCTTTTTTATTTTCTCAACAAAAAAAAAAAAACACTTACACTCTATTCTTGCTAGCTGTTTCCAACTTTTTTTTTTCTTTTCTTTATTCTCACTAGAAATGTGACACAGATGCATGTGTTTCTCACCTAACTCCATTACTTCTGTTCATCTATTTATCTGTTAACTACTTTTTCTTTTTCTTTTTTTTTAGAAGAAAACTGAACCTTTAAAAATGCATATTCCAAGTGTTAATGACAAGATTAAGGCATGTTTATTTCGACTGACTTGATTAGATGAGATTAATATCTGTAAGATTGTTAATCCAAAAATTATCAAGAGTATTTGAGAGAACTTGAGGGCTATGTTTTGATGATTATCGGATCATCGAATCGACCTAAGAAATTTGACTTTTTAAATAATTTTTTGACATTTTATAAAAGGACATGAAAAGACATTTTTTTTTTAAAAAAAAAAAGGTCAACTTTTGTATTAATTTTCTTTTATTTTTTAGTTAATTTAGCTAGTTCCCAAATAAAGCCTTAATGATGTAAGAGAGAGTTGGGCTTAAGTGATTGATTTTCAAACAAATCTAAAGTGAGTGATGCACACAAAATTTAGAAATATTTTTAATTTTATTTTTATCAATTTAGAATTAATATTTGATTAAAATATCTTACATTTTTTTTTGGTAATCAAAATTTGATTAGGATTAAAATTAAAAAAAAATGTTGATAAATCTAAGTTGATGGGTGCATTAAACATTAGGTCCAAACTTTGATTTTTATTGGTTACAAGGACACACGAATGGCACTTTTGCTTGGTAAGTCAAAACATGTGGTGATAAGGACAATTCTTCGTATTTTTTCCCTTTGTGTGTATGTATGGGAAGCAAATATTCTTCGCTTTTGTACTCCTTTCATCCAAGCCTCGCATTACTCTGAATGATGTCGTTCAATGTGAAAACACGACAACTGTGAGCTACCAAGCGGGTGTGCTGCCAGAAATCCCCTCCGACGACCAAGTTAACACCCTTAGAGAGAGGAAAAAGACAAAAGTGAAGGTAGCTCTATGTAAAACAAGTTTCAAACTTTTTACATGGAGGCACCGCAAGGCTTATATAGATTGTGCGCGCACTACCTTGCTCATCATTTCTTGGACAGATAGATATGTTATCCTCTCTTTGTCTTACACGTGTGTGTGTCAGTACTGCCAAACAACATCGATAAAACAACCAAACGGTATGGACACGTACGAACAGCAGGTTCCTTTCCTCATACTCCAATTAGGCCACGTAGCACGCTACTACCAAGCTAATTCTACCTCGATCAGCCTCAGATATCCTCAAGATTGGAATGGCTCTGCCAGGTTGTCACGCACGATTTTCCCAACACAGCTTGCTCAGCTAACAACTCAGTTAAGCCTCGAATAACCCTTCCGTCATAACTCATAGCACGGTCGAGAGCTTCTTCATCCTCTCAACCTGTCACGATCCGAACCCGCCCCTATAGGTTTAGCGTCGTAACCGGCCAGTAATCCTTGGATTACCAAAGGCCTCTTGACAAAATAACATATAATGAGGGTCTGCGGAAGCAAATAGCAATTAAACAACATCCATTGAGCTGTGCAAACCTATATGAGACAGAAAAATTTAAAACTTTATATATATACACATACACATACACATCATCATATATATACATATATATAAACTAGACAAAAAGGGACTTAATTCTATTTACAAAATACACAAAGACTTGTCTAGTTGAACAGGAAAACAAAATTTCAACTTATGCATTTAGCCATAACCACTAGACATGTCTAGAACCTCCACGGGAGGCACATAGGTTGGCTGTCAAACACTGATTCCAGGCGCCTCTAAGCTTGGTCACGACCCTGATCACCTACATACATACATATAAACAGTGAGCTGATGCCCAATGAATAATAACAAAGTAAATGGTTTAATGAATGATGTCCATCATAAAGTTAGAAATCCGATTCTTATCAGTAACAGAGTCTTATGCATATTCTGATTTCAAATCAGAGACAGGTTCATATACATGTTCATGATCATTTTCATATTTAAATTTGTATATAATAATGCGTGGTACATCTATTAGCGCTAACAAATCTGATGACCCATAAAAGGACAGCCTTGAAGACATTCCGATGACTCATGTGCACAGAGACATTTCTGATAACCCATGAAGGGACCTGATGACCCATAAAGGGACCTGATGACCCATGAAGGGACGGATATCATATGATGCTAAGGATGCCACAAATAACTTTCAGAATCTTGGACAACCATTCATTCTTTTCAACCGTAGCATAGCATTTCAGAGAACTAATTACTTCGTATCATAATATTCCGAAAATACTTAACATTGAACATAACTTTACAAAGTTATTACTCACAGATAGTAGCAGAAGCAGATCAAGCAGACAATAGCGCGTGACCTACACAAACACGTAACATATACACATGGAAGCACAATATTACTTCCTTGATCAAACTTGACTTCCTTGTTTTCTGTCTAAATAATTCGAAGGTCCACTACACTTATTCTTTCCTTGGTCAAATGAATCGGGTTCTCATTTCACAAACCCCTTTTATTACTAAACCATTCTTTTCTGAATAAACCAATTCTCACTTGGCTTCTTAATCAAGTACTACTAAGTTAATGACTTATTTTTTTAATCAACTAATTAATGTTGATTGTTAGCTTATTACTCTTTATTAAGTCATAAATCATGTTTAGGATGCTTTGGGAAGTGATGAGAATAAAAATGTGAACTAAATGCAACTTTCCAAAATATACTGAAAATAGGGTCTTTGCTCAAGCGCTACTTTGGTCGCTCGAGCAGACTGTAAAATTTGAAAAACTTATGGGAGTTCGATTTTCACACTCGAGCGAGACTTGCCTCGCTCGAGCGGACAGTGTAAATTCTGGAATTTCCAGAATTGTAATTGAAGTTTAGATTTGATATTCAAAGCCTCAAAACATGTATTTTTGGTACACAAATATAGAGAACTAATGTATAATTTAGTAGACACTCCCAATTAGAAATCATTTATTCAAAATCATGCTCCAATTGACCAAATTTAGATTTAACTTATTTCCTTTATATCAAACCCACAATTTTAAAATATGAATTAGACTTTCCAAACTCTTGAAATTTCATAATGTATGTACAATTGGAACTCAATTTCATGTTAGGACAACTAAATTCAACCCAAAGTAATTAATTTATAAATTAATTTTCATAAATTTGATCATAGCTTCAATTTCTCATTTTCTTTTTAATTACATAAAATCGGCCTCAAGTTTTTTTTATTTATTTATTTTATTTTCCTTAAAATCATGAAATTGGAGTCATGAAACTTCTTATAAAATCATTCACATGTATGAAATTGACATCAAAATTACTAATTTTATATTCTTATAAATTTTCCAACTAATTTCCATAATCTTAAACTTAACTTAATTTGTAACCTCAACTTAATTCATAATCAAAATATGTTTAATTTAAATAAAATCTGAAATTACATTACATGCATGGATTAAAAATCTAATTATAAAATCAAAGCTTTATCTAGCATTAGGATTAATTCTAATTTTCCATAAACTTGATGTTCATAAAACATTTCCTTTTTCTCTTCAAAATATGAGATTGAATTAATCCAAGTTCTTCAAAATCCATGATGCATGTATCATTAGAGTATTAAACTTGTAAAATTTATTCATGCATGTAACAATGAAGCTTAGTTTCATGTAAAATCACAACATCAAACCCAAAATAATTTATTTCTAATTTGTTTTCCATAACCATCCACATGCATGTAACCCATTTCAAATTAATTTCCATAACCTTATACTTAAGCTAATTTTTCTTCATCTTCTTGCTATTGATTCCAATTTCATCTTTAATTTCAAGTATAAAGTAAAGATTCTACACAAATTAACATAAATTCCATACCTTAGTTGAATCCCTTCTAATTCTCCTTGGGTTCCTTCCAAAAACTTGAGCATTTCTTTAAGTCTTCTTGAACATTTCTTTCTTTTCTTCTCTTTTTTTTTTTGTTCTTCCAGCAAAAGTCTCTCTTTGGTCTCTCTCTCTCGGCTACAAAACAGAGCACACTTGCACCTCTTCTTTTTTTTTTATTTCATTCTTTCACTTGAGTTAAGTCCCCAACACAAAGGCATAAACATACACCCATACTAACTCATCACACTACACACGTGCACAATATGGATGTTTCTTCAAATTAATTTATGATTATAATTAACTTATTATATAATTATCCATTAACTTTATCAAACACAATTTGAACTTAATTAATCTTAATTAGTACACAATTTGGTTAATCGTGATTAATCACAAACCCCACATAATTTAATTAATTTAATCGACTTCAATTGAGGCCCAATTAATTATATTTAATTTTGTCATTCTGAATCAGATTTTTAACCAAACTCCAAAAGGTTCCATATATTAAGTTAAATATATTTCCATTATCAATTTTGATTTCTCAAGCTATTTGGGCCTTTAATTTCTAATGAGACTTCAAATTTCCATCAATAAATTATATATCCAAATTGGACACCCCATAAATATATTTAATTCGTAATAATCACAATTCTCAATCCTCATAATTTAATTAACTTAATTTTCTCCAATTCGGACCTAATTAATCGGATCTCAATGTTACTAAATTGAATCGAATATTTAATTAAACTCCCAAATGGGTCCGTAATTAAAATTAAATTGACTCAACTTCTTAATTTCACTTCCTTAAAGCATTTGGACCCTTAATTTCTAATTCCAAAATAAATCTTTAATAGAATCATATACGAGTTAGATTCCACAATTCTCATAAATCCCAAATTAAATTATAATACTCGGCAATTAAATTTTAAAATCTTCGTAATTAATTAAGTACTAATCATTATACGTGGTGGGGTCGTTACACAACCTTAGCTTGGCCATGCTCTAGAGATGCCAATGTAACTCGGCCAAGATCTTTACCTCGATCAAGAATCACATTCTTAACTCGTTTACATTGGCCCATAACTTAAGTCCGTCTTATCTGAGGACTTCGTGGCCCGGTTGCTAGGTCAAGAACATGGCCCAAACTTGATTTTGGGCAACCTGTCTGAACCCTGTGCAACCGAGCTAAAACCACTCATCTGTGCGACCGAAATAAAAACCAAGCTCATTTGCACCACCGAGCTAGAACCGAGGTCACCTACACAACCGAGCTAGAACCAGGTTCGTCTGAACAACCAAGCTAAAACCCAACTCGTCTGTGCAGCTGAGCTAAAACCCAGCTTACCTGCACGAACGAGCTAGAATCGAGGTCACCTGCACAATCGAGCTAGAACCTGGCTCATCTAAACGACTAGGCTCGTCTGTGTGATTGAGCTAAAATCGAGCTCATTCGTAACCGACACTCTGGACAAAGACTTGCATGACAACGACTTCTTTTGGGTGACCAGTAACTATGAGACCGCTGATGTGCTCGGTTGGTACATAAGTAAAAGTAAAGATTCAACAAGTAAGCCAAATGCAACCGGTTAAATTGTTTGGATTCGTTATTCCGAGCTAACAACTTTTCTTTCGTAGGTATTGCCAAGCTACAAGCCTTGTATCCTTACCCTGAACAAGGACGCAGTGAGGGTTGTGCTAAGATACAAGAAGCGCAGCTGCCACGATCTCCTCGGTTACGTGCTGAGCTACCAGTATTCGGTGAAGCGGAAAAGCAAAGTCACAAATTTCCTGTCTAAACCTTCTCCTCCGCTAGATCCAACTCTCCCAGACGTTCCCCTTATCCGTTTAACAGAGGAAGAAGAAATGGCGAAAAGAAATAGAATAAAAAACCTTACCAATGCTACCTCTTCTGACCCACCAGCCAGCTCGTCAACGCCCGTGCCAACTACTGGTCAAGGTTCAGGAACCATGTTGGCCTTAGCCTCTACCACCGTCCAATCCACCAGCACAGAATCCCACCAAGCTGGTAAGAGGGCCCGTACGACTGATGGTTGAGGAGGTCGAATCGATGCCTACCTAGCAGCCTAAGCTGAAACACCAGCGGAAAGACATCCCGATGAGTGCTTCCATTACTAGGGACGAAGAGCACCTTCTTGCCTTTGATCTGACTAAGGTGCTACTGATGTCAATCGACATGACAAGGAGCGACCACATCCCAGACACTCGGATGGTCAAGTCTGTAGTGAAGTCCATGGCTAGGGTAAGTGTTCTTACAAAAATTGTTTACTGCTTGCTCGATCTCGCCTTCTAACATTTTCTTCTTGCAGGCAATTCAGAATACCCATTTTGTGATGGACCAAGTTGTGAAGTTGCGGTAGAAAGTGGCTGACACAACTGCGTAAAGGAAGTACTTTAAAACTGAGTTGGGGCGAGCTAAAGCTTCATTAGAGATGGCTAACGCTGAAAATACCAAACTCCTCGGCTAGCTTGGTAGCGCCAAGCAGGAAAGGGATGCGGTGCGCGCCGAGCTGGAGAAACTGAGGAAAGAGAAGTCTGATGCTGAGAAGGAAACTGAGGACAAGGGCTTTAAAGAGGCCAAAGATAGCTATACTGTCATGACCCAAACCCGCCCCTATGGATTAGAGTCATAACTGGCCAGTAATCATGTGATTACCTGCAGCCTTAGTCAGAAATCAAATCACATTTAATAATAGGGGGGCCAAATTGTGGAAGCAAAATTTACAAAGATTGTCCAATGAGCTGTGCATACGTGGCTTAACCAAAACATTCTCATATTCATATAATAACTCACACCATACAAACATTCATATTATGTATGTATTACATAAGTCCAGGATCATTCAGTAATCAGTATTAACAAAACCAAGGTTATATAGAATAGGTCATACGTGACCTCAAAGATCAAAAGGACAAGTAAAACAAAAGTAAAGCCTCTTGTGTGAGGCGACCTTGGTTGACCTCTCAAAAGTTGGTTTCTCATTGCTCACTGAGGCAGGGGCTGGACATCCCACTGCTCACCTACATACATAAATATAAACAGTGAGCTAACGCCCAGTGAATAATACCAAAACAAAGGAGTTCATGAACAAGATTCTTATAATCACAATTCACTATTACGCTTGATAGTCGATATTAAAGCAGAACGACCTCAGGTCCTTTCCATCATATCCCAAACACAAAATGACCTTGGGTCCATGTAGCATATAGAACAACCTTGAGTCCATCATAGGCAAAACGAACTTGGGTCCAACTTACGTACGAAATGACCGTAGGTCTAATTCATATACACATTTAGATCCATGGTCATATACATATTCATCCCCAAACGACCTTAGGTCCATTCAAGTTCTCATTCTGAACGGCTTGCGGCCCCCATTTAACAATTATACAGAACGATTTTTAGCCCAATCCACATCCTTACTTAATATACTGACTGCCTTAGGCCCATTTCATACCCATACGCTGATCACTTCGCATATTTCATTCCGAATTAAGTGATTAGAATACTCATTCATAATGTTACTTCAAAGGTTTAGAACCTTACCACATAGGCATCGTTTAGAAAATAATGCATATACAAAAATAATGCATATACTCACAGTGTTCTGGTGCTTGATTCGTCCTCGTGCTTGACCCTACATAATTCATAACACTTGGGGTCATAATGCAATTTATTTTCATGGGGGCGTTTGTTTCATGAGATTGAAGTGTGGGATTGGACTCTCTGTCCAATAAATTTACTAATTCATCGTTTAGTTAGTTTTGCGAACGTCGGATTACAAGTCAATAAATTTAACAATATATATTGTATTGCAGTTCGCCCTTATCGTGTCCTTCTAAATAAATACCCCATTAAGGTAAATTACAAATACAAACTCAGATTTTGCTTAAATAAGAATTATATCCTATAATTTTAGAAATGATAAGTATCCCTTGTCAACATTTTTTATTGAATAATGACTTGGACCCCCTTTTTTTTCCACCCCCTTGACCCCCTCTTGATTTGATTGGCTACTTTTTCTTTCTTTCTTTTTTTTATTCCTTCTCCTCCAATCACCACCTGCCATGTGTCTGTGGGGATGATGGGGGTGATGATTGGAGGGGGTCTCAATCATCACCCTTTTTTATTTAATAAATTAACAAAAAAAAAAAAGAAGAAAAAATAACATATTAGCAAAAGTTATAAAAATAAATTACAAACCAGTAGTAAATTTAAATATATTTCTAGTCGTACAAAATACATATACCTGAGCTAGAAATAGAGGCGAAACCAAAATCCCCTCGCTCCAAAAACCCCTCATCCTGTTCGTCTGCCCCAATCAAACCCTAATCCTCATACAGAGCCATGGCCATCACGCGTTCCGGCAGAGGGCGCTCCTTCCCCGTCGACAACCAGCCCTACCCCGCCACCACTGGCCGTGGCCGTCTTCGTGGTCGTGGCCGTGGCCGTGGCCGTGTCCTTATCCGTCACCGATCACCCTCCCTACCCTTGAACCCAACCCGAAATCAACATCGACAGGAGGAGGAGGAGCTCGTACGAAATCAATTAGTACCGGAGTTGCAGGAATCAATAGCGGAGGAGGAGGAGGAGTCTGTAGACAGCCTTATAGAAAGAATCTCTGGTGGCTCTGGTTATGGAAGCAATCTCCATTGACCCTCATTTGATTGAGAGGGTTCGTAATCTGGCTGAGGTTGATCCCGCCCAAAGAGAGGTATAGGTGTCCCAATTTGGAAGGCAGACCGCTCTCACTTCTGAGACGTTGAATTCTTTCTTTGGAAGATATGGAGAAATTGAAAATTGCACCATCGATGTCTATCAGATAGATGGGAAAGCAGAGAGCCGAGGCTACATTACCTTTAAGCAGCGAAAGGCGGCATGGGAGGCAGCGAAGGAGCCGTCCCATAAGATCGACGACAGCTATGTCAGGTGCATACTGCCCTCTCTTTGGCGCTTCCCCAATCCTTCCCGCTGGTTGCAATTGCCCGGTTACTATCCTGCGTTGGGATGCGAATTCAGATATCAATATAAGTTACCAAAAAATCAGTACGCCGCCACCTCCTCCACCACTGAGGAAGAAGAAGAGGAGCCTCTCGAGAAGCTTCTGGAAGCGTTAGGGACTTACAACCTGGTTTCATTAGTGAATGAAGGACTAATGAAAACCCCAACTATACTAGTAAGCCTCTACAAGCACGCTGAGATTGATCCGACTCTTCGACATATCGCAGCTTACCGCATTGGCCCCTATTTCATGACTAATAGGACGATTGTGAATTCAGTATTTGAAAAGTACGGTGAGATAGAACGCTGCAGGTTTGATGAAGATGGTGTTCAAGTATTATTCAAGCACCGAAACAGTGCATGGAAAGTGCTGAAAGAACCATATCTAAAATTGGTGACTACCTCACAAGGTGCATGCGACCATCAGGGAGCCGTGCCATGCATTTTTGGACGGACTGTTGAACAATGAGCACTAGCCACCCGCATCTTTAGGTGGGTGTCTTTAGGTAAGAACAAAATAAGATATATTTAACTGCTCGATATTTGTCTTTTTTGTGATGTTTTACTTGGTGCTTATACACAAAATTTTAACCTATTTTGCTTGGTTTTGATATATAAAAGAAAGGAAAAAAAGCAAAGATAGGATAGAAAGTGTTAAGTGTATGCAAATAACTGATTTTCGCTTATTGATGCTGCATGATATAAAGATTAATGACTTGACATAAAGACGCGTGAATTTACAGCACGCTATCTAAATGGCTAGTTAACTTATATTTATTATATGAATACCAGCCACAAACACTCAATGTGTTAGTTGGAAGCTTGTCATTGTGATGCTCTAAATTATCAAAGCCTCAAATTATTTTGGCATCATCTGACAAATGTTGGCTCTAAGAACCGGCTACTAGAATGATGAATGAATATAAACTAAACACCCAGAATATTAATACTTTTGTAAAGAGTCTTGCTTTTGAATTGTTACACATGTTCAGGAATGCAGAAGAATCTGTGGATCACTTTATTCTTTCGTTTGGGATCTTTAGTAGTTGCTGGTTTTGGTTTTTGTCGGTCATGTTGTGATGTTTTTTATTCTAATAGTTTTGGGCAAGTGGGTGTTGAGTGAAGGTGTGGATGACATGTGATGAAGCTGTACTTACTGATGACATTGTGAATCTATGATTCAATGTGCGTGCACTAGATAAGACAAGGGTAATGGCGTGCGGTATTGGAATGCTAGTCATTATGTATTCAGCAATCTGCTGCTAGTTTTGGATCATATCAATGTATTGTAAGTTTAAGGGCTCATACCATGCGTGGAGATCACCCACACCAATGCTCATGCTTGAGTCTATGTAACATAGATGATTCCTTGTGCTATAAAGGTGTGTGTAAGATGAGTTCATCTTGCGGAGTTTATGGTGTTTAGTTTTGTTCTTATGGACAATGGGTTGGAGATACCAATGGAGGTTAATGCATTGTTTGATGATCATGGTTTATGATCTTAGAAGAGTGAGTGTTTAGAAGAGTGTGTATGTGTTCGTTTGTTTTCAAATTGGATGGTAGGTATGTCCGTATTTTTGTTATGCATCTACTGTTTTAGGTTAATGCACAAGGCAATGATGATCTGAGATCTTTCAATCTTACTGATGAGTGACTTGCCTTAGTGTTATTTAAACTATTAATATTATAAAGTCCACTAGCATTGCAATTTATTCTTGTTCCAATTTTGCTATATGTGATGGAAATATTGCTCTTATGTGTAGTAAATAAATTGAAGGAAGTCACTATTGGACAAATTTTGTGTCATATTTTTGTAGGCTGAGAAATTGTTTATTCTATAGATATGTTCGGACTGTTGGTTTACTTATCCCAAAAAAAGGTTTAGATTGTTGTTTTGAAGTATGTTCTTATGTCAAATTCAATTTAGTCATCTCCACCATGTGAAATATTAAAACTCTTCTTTTGTGTCCCCTTTTTTATTTTTATTGTCATTAGTCCCTTTTTTGTTACAAAAATTATTGTGCCCCCATCCTGGTTGGATAGACAGCGGATGTAATACAGGGTATGCAGTTTCAGCCTCAGTTTGTAATTGTTGGTTTTGTACTTGAAATATTTTCTTCTTATGATAAGAATTTTTTTTTTTTTTTTATGATTTTACGCTTTCATTGTGTAGATTCATCAAACGTTTTGGACTCTAGTGATTTGTCAAACGGAAAGTTTTGGACTGGTGATTTTGTATGAACTTCCTGATGCTCGTGCAGATGATGCTTTAATTATTGTTTACCTAATGACTAGAATCTACACTCTCCGTACTTTACTATCTATTCAAGTACTTTTTTTTGGATGTTTCCAGAACAATGTGGTATTTTTGTGTCAATATTTATGTTTCTAAAGAACTCTTTGGGAAGAACATCCTCAAAACATCAGTTGTTACTCAGAACATCAGTTGTGTGGATTTCTGGGCATATTAATTTTTCTTCAAGTGCTTTATAATGGAATTATGTTCAGAATTGAAGTTGATAGTATTGTTTGTTTATGTGGTGCTTTGTTGTATTGTTATTGCATATTCATCTTCGACTTCTTGCGTAGCCTTATTTTAGCCACTGTGTGAATCCATCCTATACTAGTCAGTATTGCAGGTGGCCTTTTTTTCCCCCCACTTTTTACATGAACGTAACATTTCTCAAGATTTTTTTTTTGGTTTGTTTTGCTTTTCCTTCTTTATTGTTCACCTCCCCATGGTGGGTTGTAAGGTTTAAAAACTTCCTCTATATTTGATGATGGATGGTTCAAGACATGCTTAACTTTAAGGGATGAGAAGTTTTGAAAGCAAAACACATGAATGAATTGGGAGTGTTTCCAAATTAAGTATTTGCATTTATATTAATAGCTTGATTTCCATCCCCCTTTCATACTAAAATTACCTACAATGTATAGTTTCTCCAACTAATTAGTGAGCATTATTGTCTCAAGTCAGATTTTGAACCCCTCTCAATTTATGAGAGACGAGCGTTTTGGTTCTATTTATAGTTGTAGAAAGTTAGCCTTAAGATCAATGAAAATGATAAGTCCAAAACCCCCAAAATAAGGCCCATTAGAACCCCAAAATTCTAAAAATAAAACACGCAAGGGTCGACCCCTGGTTTGGTGGTGTCGACCCTTCAAGAAGAAATGACAATGCTGTCAAGGCAAGGTGTCGACCCTTGGACGAGAAGGGTCGACACTAAATTCCAGCACCTAAACTCAGATTCTGCAATATACAAGGGTCGACCCTTCTCAGACTAGTGTCGACCTTTGAGGCCAACAACAAAAGAAAGGTGTCGACTCCACCAAGGCTAGTGTCGACCCTAAATTTTAGCATCACTTCCAGAATTTTAGCAACAAGGGTCGACCCTTAGGAAGGTTGGTGTCGACCCCAGAACAGAATTTCTAAGTTTCCAAGGAACTTTTAGACAAGAACAAATGCGAACAAACAAACCCAATGAGTTTAAATCGAATTGTACTCCTTCAAAACCAATATACAACAACTTAAAAGACTCCCAAAATGAAAATAAAGGTATTAAATACACCTTCCAATAGATTAAAACACCCAAGTGTTACAAATTATCTTTCTTAGGCTTCTTTCTAACTCTTTAGTTCATTTAGGATGCTCAATGTGTGCATAAGAATACTCAGAAATGAAGTAGAACGGAAATTGAAACATAACACGACATTTCAAAATTTTCTAAAGCAGGATACTTCGCTCAAGTGCAACATTGGTGGCTCAAGCGAACCACTAAGTCTGCAAAAGTACTGGATGCTCTCATTTTATGCTCAAGCCAACTTCTTGGTTGCTCGAGCCAAGACTAAAAATAAAGAGTGGTCGTTCGAGCGGTATTTTGGTCGCTCGAGCCAACCTCCATTGTCTGCAAAACTACTGGATGCTTGATATGTGCGCTGGAGCTACCTTTTGGTCGCTCGAGTAGTCTGTCGAATCTCTAGAATTTCCAGAACTCTGTTTTGAGCTTCAAACACATATCCAAGGCTTCAAATTCTTGCATGACTCACTCAACTATGCAAGAACGCTCCCAAATACATATATTTCAAGTTAACTTCAACCCATTGTTCAAAACTCCATGAATTCAACAAAATTCAAACCTTATTTTATGTTTGTAAAATCCATATTTTATATCTTGCATTCACAAGCTTCAAGTCTTAAAATTGAACCTTAAAACATGACAATTCATGCATGCATGTGCAATATGACTTTGAATTCAAACTGAAACATCATAAATCATGCTCAAAAGCACGCCGCTTCACAATTTCTTGCATGCATGTATGATTTGACACTAAATTCTTCATGCTATGCTCATTTCTTGCACTAAATTACAAAGTTTTCTTGAATTCACAAGCTATAAGATTTTAATTCACAATCTAAGGTTTAATTACTCACCTAGAGCCTTTAACTATTCCAAATTAAGCTAGTTCTTGAGCCTAGCTCTTCAAATCTCCAAGCTTTTAGTTCAAGGCTTCAAATTTGAGTCTCCCCTCTCTCAGAATCACACACTCTCTCTCTATAATGCTTAACCTCAGTGAAATTGTTGAAGAAGAGCTCAAATATATGAGCTTAATCACCATCTCAAACTTGATGAGAAACTAAGGCAAATCAGTGCATCGTTCCGCCTATGTCCAGCCATAACTTGCTAGAAGTGGTTCACGTGTATGTACGAACTAGTTTTCCATCATAGAGCGTGAATTTTGGCTAGTGAAAACCAACGGGGAGTGGCGTGTTCTCTATCTCAAGGGAAAAAGAGGTGGGGCTTAGACTTGCTAGATCCCTATCTGGTGGTACGTGCGCCACCAGGTGCGGCGGTGGCATTATGACCTCCTCAATAGCACGACCTCTGGGGGCCAACCGCTGCAATGCTGACACCCTTTAAGCCTCTCGTCACCGCGCTCGCTCCTCTAATATATCCCTCAGATCTCCCGATCGATTGGATTATGAGTATCTCAACATCGTCGACGGATGTGAAGGACAACAGCTGCTGTCTCAAGTATGAGACAGCCAATGCAACAAAGTCGTCTACTCTGAGACTCCTCGAAATGGAAAGTGAAGAAATTGGCCGCCTACTCCAACTGCCAGAATGGTGGGACTGGGTGTGTTCACTATGGTTTCCCACTCCAACAACATCCTTTCCTTTCAGCTGGCGCTTCATGGCCTCCATCACCGTTACCATCTTTCTGATGATGGCGTCTTCATCCCTCAGCTTGCTCTCCAAGTGCTGAGTGTGTGACTCTCGTCGGCGACGGCGCCCTTCTGGGCTCAATGAGCACCTAGAACTCCTTGCGCATTTGTCTCGCGCGTCTCTGACGGGCCCTCACATGGAGGTCTCCAAACCAACCATTGTCGAAATGACGAGCAAGTCATCATGCCGCAAGACGGACTTTGGCATAATGCTGTCAATATTGAACTTCAAAACGTCGTCGTTGTTTGCCATGGAAAGTGATCATAAAAGCTTGAAGGTCAAGGCTTTGTCTGTTGGATTCCCACAAAAGGCGCCAATTGTACAAGGAGCAAATATTCTTTACTTCCGTAATCCTTTCGTCCAAGCCTCGCATTACTCCGAATGATGTCATTCAACCTGAAAACATGACAACGGTGAGATACCAAGCAGATGTGTTGCCGGAAAATCCCTACGACGATCAAGTTAGCACCCTTAGAGAGAGAAGAAAGACAAGCAAATGTAGCTGTGTAAGGAAAGTTCCAAACCTTATGCATGGAAGCGCCGCAAGGCTTATATAACTTGTGTGTACACTACCTTGCTCGCCCTTTCCTGGACACGTAGATGTACTATCCTCTTTTCACCTTACACGTGTACGCGTCAATATTGCCAAACAGAATTGACAAAACAACCAAATAGTATTGACACGTACAGACGGCGGGTTCCTCTCCTCGCACTCCAATTGGGCCATGTAGTATGCTACTACCGAGCTAATTCTACCTCGGTCAGCCTTAGATATACTCAAAATTGGAATGGCTCTTCCAAGTTGTCGGGCACGATTTTCCCAACCCGGCTTGCTTAGCTAACAACTCAGTTAAGCCTCACATAACCCTTTCGTCAGAACTCATAGCACGGTCGAAAGCCTCTTCATCCTCTCAACCTTAGCCTGGCCATGCTCTGGAGATGCCGATGTAACTCGGCTAAGATCTTTACCTCGGTTAAGAATGACGTTCTCAACTCGCTTACCTCGACCCATAACTTAAGTCTGTCTTATTTGAGGACTTTGCGGCCCGGTTGCTAGGTCAAGAACAGGGCCCGAACCTGATTTTGCTTGGCCCATTTGTTCGGCACAAATTCCCCTCTCAATGTATTTTGTACTAAAATTTAAATTTAAAAAAAAATCATAAATTGAGTTTTACAAATCAATTTTTAGCAAAATTGATATATGTAGGTTTTTCTTTTCAATTTCTTTCAAATAAGATCAATATTAAGTTTAAAATTTCAAAAACAAATGCTAATATATTGATTTTTTGGTTAATCAAAACAACAAAATAATATTTTTAAAAAAGCGCTCGAAATCGCCTTTTGCATTTTGAAAGGATAGATCCTGAAAAAATACATGGAATAAAGAAATTTTTTTTTTTCTAAAACGAACTACCAAGCGTAAAGTTATTAGCTGTTGAAGTTTTAACACTTTTTTTTTTTCACACCTTCATATAGTTATTTGATCAAATCATTCAAATAGCTATCTGTTCAAATCATTTATGGTGTTCAAATTTGAATAGGTCATAACTTTATACTCAGTAATTTGTTTTGGACGATTGATTTTTTAATCAACAAAAAGAAACTTTATTAATAAAATCAATCATACATCAAATACAAAGATAAGCATCAATAAAAATTAACGAGTGCAAAAAGTATCAAAGCTAAACTATCAAAGCACCAATGATCCAAACATTCCCTAGACTTTAGTGTGTGACTAATTCAATGGTACAAAGTTAAATGCTAGAAAATTTATTTCTAATGGGTAATGCTATTAAGTAGTTCAATACTATAGTTCCTATTATTCCTATGATTGGATCATTGTCTAAAGCGAATTTTGTAATGTGTTAGGACATTCCATTAGTAAGCCACTCTGGGCCGATTTATCAAATTTTGTTTTTTACACTTCCAAAAATTCAAGGACTCAATCATATGGATTATATAAAGACAAGATTTCCAATCTTAGCACGAAAATGAAAGAAAGGGACTCAACTTAAAGTGAGTTAAACAAATTTCATACTTGATCTCATAAGACAGAATTATGTGGAAAGTCGTATTCGATAAAACTTATATGTAAATCTTGGAAGGAGATCTTTCATATATTTTGAAATCCACCCTACAATATGATGTAAACAAGCCAAAATAAGTTATTTTAGTCCTTGTAAATGGCAGATGTGTAATTGTGGTGTTTATTTGCCATTTCTCATGCATTAGGGTTTAAACACTCGAACACTTATTCGAACCCTCATGCATGATGGCAGATATGTAAATATGGTGTTTACTTGCCTTTTCTAATGCATTATGGTTTAAACCCTCGGACACTTATTTGGACCCTCTTGCATTATGGCGGATATGTAATTATGGTGTTTATTTTCCATTTCTCGTGCATCAGGATGTAAACACTCGGACACTTATTCAGACCGTCGTACATCATGCAGATTTGAAGTTATGGTGTTTATTTGCCATTTCTATATCATTTGCATTTTTGTCCAAAAACAGATTCTCAAAAATTCAAAAGCAATATTTTAGTTTTTCTCAAAAAGTTGATATTTCCAAAACAAAAACAAAAACAAAAACAAAAACAAAAACAAAAACAAAAACAAAAACAAAACAAAAAAAAACAAAATATCCTATAAATTATTTACCAAAAAAATTCATAAAAAAGGAAAACAAAACAGGCCATTCAACATCCCGTTAAAAGAAGCGTTACATTGTTGAGCAATCCCTCAAGAATCCGTAGTTTTTCTTTCAAAAAAATTCAGAGGTTTTAATGGGCAAAATGGGGCACCCCACACAACTCTGTGAGTAAGCTATAGGATTTTCCATCAAAGTTTGCCCAAAAACATAAAAACAAAACCAAAGTAAAGATTGTAACACTAAAATGTAAACAGAGAGTATAAGCATCATTTATGTTTTTTTAATAAATGAAGCACAGGAATCCATCAACTTATTGCTAGCATGTAGTATTTAAACATTTAAGTAAACCACAAATAACTTGCCACAAAAAATTTAAAAGAGCATAAAACAAAAGAGTTCCTGATAATGTAAAACACAGACACGCTTGTGGTCCTCCTGAAGGAATTCGAAGCTCTGTTTCACTTTTCACTGCCATTCATTGTTTATTAAATGGAAATGGGAAGAACACTCAAAGGAACTTCCTGTGTGGCCGCCCTGCATCGTCATCTTGCATATGCTGTCACCATAATACATGATTTAACCAAAATATTAATATTCTCATTATATCTGCAAGGGAGGTGAACCCAACAACTTCAAACATAAAATTCAAGCAAAATATAGCTATACAAAAATTAATGAATCATTTGTTTAATCTTCAAGATAACTTGAATAATTTCTGCCGCTGTATTATTCAAAAAATAAAATAAAATATATCATAAAGCATGAAACAGAAAGGAATTGGTGAGTAAATACTTGACTATTTAATATTGTCTTCATACTTGAAAGATACCCAAACTAGGCTTTATGTCTCAAACAAATGGGTCCGCTATATGAATTCCTTTTCGTCATTCTATTCAGGCAAGAACTATATGCTCAATTAAATTAAATAAATTCATATCTATTCTTACTATTGTATCCCATATTAGTTTGGTCTTCTCTTACCCCTAACATTTCCAATTACGGTGATCATATCACTTTTCCTTATCGTTGCATCTATTATAGTTCTTCATTGTATATGAACAAACCATCTTAATTTGTTCTCTTTCAACTTATCTTCAATTGGCGCTACTTCTACTATTTCGTAAATATGATCATTTCTAATTCTATCTTTCATAGTCTTACCACACATTCATCTAAGCATTTTTACCTCAGCTTACACTCATCTATGAGCATGCTGTTTCTTAGTTGTCTAATGTTCTGTCCCATAAAGCCTCGGTAGTCGTATAGTTGTTTTATAAATTTTTCCTTTTAATTTTATGGGTATTCGTCAATCACATAATATGCTAGACGCACTTCTTCACTTGAGCCAACCTATTTTAATTCTATGAATCACATCATCTCTAAGCTCACCATCCTTCCTTAATAACAATCGAACCTAGGTATCGAAAATGTTTACTATATGTTATCTCTTGATTTTCAATCTTTACTTACTATTACTAATGTCACATTTCATATATTCAATTCTAATAATTTTAAACCAATTTGACTCTAGTGTTTCTCTTCAAATTACTAATTTTGACTTTTTTTCCTTAGTTTCATCCACTAGAAAATATCATATGCAAACAACATATACACCATGGGACATCATCATAAATGTGTCTAGTAAATTCATCTATGATTAAGGCATAGGTAAGGACTCAAAGCTAACCCTTAATGCAACCATTCAGCAATTGAAAATTCTCAAATTTCTCTTACAGTTGATCTAATCATAGTCACTCCATCAACATGTCTTTTATTGCATCAATATACCCTTTGGTCACACTAGTGTTATTAAAGGCGCACCTAGGCATGCAACTAGGCCCAAGGCTTATCAAGGCGCAATTAGTGCCCTTAGAAACATCTCAAACCATGCGATGTAAATAAGCCCCATAAAGACACATGAAGCTTGCGTTTTGCACTTAGGCTCAAGGCACACAATTTGTGCACTTATTCTAAATATTTGTTTATTACAATTACAACTTTTGATTTCACTTAATCTCATTATTTTTTTGTTTACAGCAACAGTAAGGGATTTACAATCTCATTCTCCTCCTCCCTCTCTATGTTTATCTTGTAAGACCCTTCAATTTCGTCGTTATTTACAAATGTTTATGGCTACGAGTTCGATGTTTGTATTTATGTGCAACCTTGAATTATTTGTCTATGATAAAATATTAGTGTCTGTTGGTATTTATATTTTAAAATATTTAATATGATAATTTATTTAAATTTAATTATTTTCTTATCATAAATTATCTATTTTTTATTGTCAACTTGAGCCTCACTTCAATGAAGTTCGCGCCTCGCTTTGTGCCTATGCCCTAGGAAATCTTGGCTTTTCAGTGCACCTGTCACCTTTAATAACACTGGGTCACACATTTTTTCTCCAATATCCACCATAATATCTCTAGGAATCCTATCGTAAGCTTTCTTCTAAACCTATATAAATCATATGTAGATCCCTCGTTTTCTCTATATTTTTTTCTACTAATCTTCAAAGTAAATTTATTGCTTCCATAGTTGATCTACTAGGTATAAAACCATATTGATTCTCTAACACTGAGTTAGTACTCTTTTGTTGTAACCAAGTGTTAACTTGGAAAGCTGTAAGCCCATAGGGCATTTGCTTTTGTTGTTAACATGTAATACTTTTTGTAATGAAACTCTGATAAATGAAAGAATGTGAAACTTTGAATATCAATGCATGTCTTATTTAATGGGTTTAAAGTTATTATTTTGAGGGCGTTACATAAACACTCAAAGTCTCACTGAAATAAAAATGCGAATAAAATTACAACTCAAAGGAGTTTTGTCAAACGGGATTGCCAAGAAATAAAACCTAACAATCATAAAGCATGAAACAGAAAGGAATTGGTGAGTAAATACTTGACTATTTAATATTGTCTTCATACTTGAAAGATACCCAAACTAGGCTTTATGTCTCAAACAAATGGGTCCGCTATATGAATTCCTTTTCGTCATTCTATTCAGGCAAGAACTATATGCTCAATTAAATTAAATAAATTCATATCTATTCTTACTATTGTATCCCATATTAGTTTGGTCTTCTCCTACCCCTAACATTTCCAATTATGGTGATCATATCACTCTTCCTTATCATTGCATCTATTATAGTTCTTCATTGTATATGAACAAACCATCTTAATTTGTTCTGTTTCAACTTATCTTCAATTGGCGCTACTTCTACTATTTCATAAATATGATCATTTCTAATTCTATCTTTCATAGTCTTACCACACATTCATCTAGGCATTTTTACCTCAGCTTACACTCATCTATGAGCATGCTGTTTCTTAGTTGTCTAATATTCTGTCCCATAAAGCCTCGATAGTCATATAGTTGTTTTATAAATTTTTCCTTTTAATTTTATGGGTATTCGTCAATCACATAATATGCTAGACGCACTTCTTCACTTGCGCCAACCCATTTTAATTCTATGAATCACATCATCTCCAAGCTCACCATCCTTCCTTAATAACAATCGAACCTAGGTATCGAAAATGTTTACTATATGTTATCTCTTGATTTTCAATCTTTACTTACTATTACTAATGTCACATTTCATATATTCAATTCTAATAATTTTAAACCAATTTGACTCTAGTGTTTCTCTTCAAATTACTAATTTTGACTTTTTTTCCTTAGTTTCATCCACTAGAAAATATCATATGCAAACAACATATACACCATGGGACATCATCATAAATGTGTCTAGTAAATTCATCTATGATTAAGGCATAGGTAAGGACTCAAAGCTAACCCTTAATGCAACCATTCAGCAATTGAAAATTCTCAAATTTCTCTTACAGTTGATCTAATCATAGTCACTCCATCAACATGTCTTTTATTGCATCAATATACCCTTTGGTCACACTAGTGTTATTAAAGGCGCACCTAGGCATGCAACTAGGCCCAAGGCTTATCAAGGCGCAATTAGTGCCCTTAGAAACATCTCAAACCATGCGATGTAAATAAGCCCCATAAAGACACATGAAGCTTGCGTTTTGCACTTAGGCTCAAGGCACACAATTTGTGCACTTATTCTAAATATTTGTTTATTACAATTACAACTTTTGATTTCACTTAATCTCATTATTTTTTTGTTTACAGCAACAGTAAGGGATTTACAATCTCATTCTCCTCCTCCCTCTCTATGTTTATCTTGTAAGACCCTTCAATTTCGTCGTTATTTACAAATGTTTATGGCTACGAGTTCGATGTTTGTATTTATGTGCAACCTTGAATTATTTGTCTATGATAAAATATTAGTGTCTGTTGGTATTTATATTTTAAAATATTTAATATGATAATTTATTTAAATTTAATTATTTTCTTATCATAAATTATCTATTTTTTATTGTCAACTTGAGCCTCACTTCAATGAAGTTCGCGCCTCGCTTTGTGCCTATGCCCTAGGAAATCTTGGCTTTTCAGTGCACCTGTCACCTTTAATAACACTGGGTCACACATTTTTTCTCCAATATCCACCATAATATCTCTAGGAATCCTATCGTAAGCTTTCTTCTAAACCTATATAAATCATATGTAGATCCCTCGTTTTCTCTATATTTTTTTCTACTAATCTTCAAAGTAAATTTATTGCTTCCATAGTTGATCTACTAGGTATAAAACCATATTGATTCTCTAACACTGTTGTTGTAATCCTTAAATCACTCATTCCTATAATTTCTTTATATGACTCATTAACTAAGTAGGCGTTTGGCATGCACTAAAAAAGTGCACTTTTTTTGCATACATACACTTATTTGGGTTACATCAATCAACATCTATCAACATCTCCTTTATACTTTTCTACCCACTTTCTCTATTTTTCTGCACATTTTTTTATAAAAAGTAAAAAAATACACTTATTTAGAACATCCCAAACCACCCTTAAATGCCTCTATATTTGTTGCAATTTTGATTATCACCTTTATTTTTAATATAGGTAATAAAATACTTTTTCTTCATTTGTCTATGAGAGACTTAAAAAAAAAAAAAACCTTAAAAGATGAATACAATACTATCAAAGGCAAACGACCAAAACGAAGCATAAAAAGAAAATGCAAATCACACAACTCTCCAATCTCTACAAATCAAAAATTGGGGAATCTCCTTCAAATGAGAAGAAACTGACACCTAAAAAGAAGACAGTTAATAAACCCAATCCCGAAGGAGGAGAAATTGAGACCTAAAATCATAAGCCTCTAAAGCCTATCTTCAGAGATTCCCGTGTTCTTTCTGACCAAATCATGCAAAGGTGGCACAGATAGTGCAATTCAACTTATTATGAATAAACTATCAATTAACATGTAAATTAATAGATATTAATCATTCTTAAGCATATAACTTTCAGTTAAAACAATAAAAACACTATAACGACTGATTTAATTTTAAACTGAACTTGTGATATGTTAATCTTCGTAGCCATGCACGTGGAGATGTGAGTTTGTAGCTATGCATTTGAGGTTGCAATGTTCATTGTCAAAACCAATTTATGAGGGTTTCATAAATCTTAATCACAACTACGACACACAGGTGCGTGAAAGCAGGCACAAAAGGTTTTAACAATGTCTTGAAAGGCTATGAAATCTTAGGGAAACAACCACGTCACACGAAATGTACACACAGAATGCCTCATTTCACAATTTGCATCAGGAAATAATCTATCAGATTGAATTGGACCCCATTTATCGAAAGACGAGTCTAGAAAGAAGCCTAAATTCCAGGATTCAGTCATCACATCAAGTCAGTCCACCCAAAGCTTAAAAAGGCCAATTCAGCAGCTACAGAAAAACTTCAATCACAACACAATTTTGTGACAATTTCCACAATAATAAATCTATAAACACATAAACCAAGCTTTCAATAGTCATATGAAAGAAATGAAAAATTAGGGCACTATCGGAACCAGATAAGGAAATTAAAAGACAATAAAATTAGGTAAAACCGAGAACAATATATGTATATATATAGACATAAAGAGCAAGAGAGGAGAGAGAGAGAGAGAGAGAGTACGAAATCTCGGACGATGCCCTTGTAGACGAGGATGGGGATGGCGATGCCGAATAAGCCAACGAGAGCAAAGTTGCGGCGGGTCCACCTGAAGTTGAGCTCCAGGTTCTCCCTTGCGCTTCCCCACTCCTCTATGAACCTGTTCTTGTTCGTTTCCATTCCTCCTCCCATCTTCTTCGATCTTCTTCTTCCTCTCTCTCTCTTCCTGTTTTTCTTTTACCCGTTTTGTTTAGGTCTTACTGTTCGTCTCTTCTCTCTCTCTCAACACTCTTTTACGCTGCCGCTATTCAAAACACCAAATGGATGGAAAAATTATTGGTTGATTTGGAGCGTCACGTGCCATGCTCTATACTAATTACTATAATTTATCTCGTTTTTTTCCGTATCTTAATTACTTAATATAAATTTATAAATTTTATTTTATTTTAGGAAAAATTGGCCTAAAGTCTCTCCTCTATTTTTGATAGGAGAAGAGTTCCAAAATAATATGTTTTGATGGCTAAGGTCCCTCAAATTTATTTTGGGTTATAAAGTACCTAAATTACCCATCCTTTATATCATAAATTTGTTTGAATATTATATTGTTGACATAACTGATAGATTTTGGAAACCGAATTTGCAGTGGAGATTTTGTCGGAGTTTTCGTCGGAGATTTCAGTGGAGATTTCATGGTGGAGATTTCGTCGGAGATTTCAGTGTAGTTGACGAGAAAGATCGCTACGATCGTGTAGATTTCGTTTGAGATTTCGTCGGAGATTTCAGTGGTGTTACAGTGTGTTGATCGTGTAGATTTTCAGTGGAGTTGAATCAGGTTTGTTTTCGATGGTGATACCACATGCATTTTGATTTTTGTTTTGAATTTTTGTTTAGAGAGAGGCCAACTTGATAGAGTTAATTTTTATTTTTGGAATTAATTTTTAATTCTTTGTTTTTTAATCAATTTCAAAGAGTGTTGACAATGTGTTGATCGCATAGGTTTTTGAGTAGAGTTGAATCAGGTTTGTTTTTTATTTAGATTCCACATGGATTTTGATTTTTGTTTTGAATTTTTGTTTAGAGAGAGGCCAGCTTGATAGAGTTAATTTTTATTTTTGGAATTAATTTTTCATTCTTTGTTTTTTAATCAATTTCAAATAGTGTTGACAGTGTAGGTGATTTTGATGTTTAGAGTTCATTTTTCGTGCTCTATTTTTTATCAACATGCTGATCAATGATAAGTTTTGTTCTATGTTTTTTCAAACCAGAGAAATTTCACTTTCTGCACTTTTGTTTGTGTAGTCCAGAGAAAATTATAAGTGCATATGGACATATTATTAGAAGTTTCTAATGCAGATAGAATATGAGAAAGTGAATGTAAGTTCATAAATTTCTCTGGACTTGTATTTGTAGTTCAAAGAAAATTGTAAGTTTGTTACTCACTTTCAGTTTGTAGTTTAGAGAAAATTATATGTTTGTAGAAGATGAATAGAAGTTTTTGTTTCTCTAAGCAAAAGTTATTTTTTGTGTTTTTTCTTTCAGTTTAGATGGACAATGCAGTGTTTTTTGTTATCTTGAAGGTGTATATAAGTTTGTAAATTTCTCTGGATTTTTCTATGAGTGCAATATTGCAGAATGACAGATAGAAAATTATTAGCTTGTAGTGAGGTGAAAATCACA